CTGTTCATTTTTTTCATTATTGACTACCATGAGACCTGTATTTCCCTCTTTCGTATGCATGAGAAGGTTAATATAGATGGGGTTGATAATGGCTATTTGACATATAGGAGAAGAAATCTTTGCTTTCCTGGTCAGTCTAGATCAGTGGTTGGCAGACTGCAGCTTGTGAGCCACATGTGGCTCTCGAGCTGCACTTTGCCAACCACTGGCTATAGCACTCAAAAGAGAATATGGAGGTGTGACCTCTATTTAGGGACTTCTCTGTTCATTTTTTTCATTATTGACTACCATGAGCCCTGCATTTCCCTATTTCGTATGCATGAGAAGGTTAACATAGATGGGGTTGATAATGGCTATTTGACACATATGAGAAGAAATCTTTGTTTTCCTGGTCAGTCTAGATCAGTAGTTGGCAAACTGCGGCTTGCGAGCCACATGCGGCTCTTTGGCCCCTTGAGTGTGGCTCTTCCACAAAATACCACGTGTGGGCACGCATGTACAGTGCGATTGAAACTTCGTGGCCCATGCGCAGAAGTCAGTATTTTGTGGAAGAGCCACACTCAAGGGGCAAAGAGCCACATGTGGCTCGCGAGCCACAGTTTGCCCACCACGGTGCTAAGAGAAATAAAGTAGTGAAGAACAGGATAAATAGTCTGTGCACAGGTATGAAGGAGATAGAACAGCTCAGAAGAAATACAATTTTTTTTGAACTGGTGTGCCACAAGAATTTTTAGAACGCGCACTACCTGACTAGTCAGGGACACTGATCTCTGTTCCCTTAGATTGTCAAATAATAAAATGACAACACTATGATAGCCATCCAGTGTGAATAAGTTAAAAACAATTTTTTTGTCAGGTTGGCAAAACATATTTTTTTTGGTGTACTGCAGAATTTTAGTAATTAGTTTATGTGTGCCATGAGATGAAAATAGCTGATGTAGAAATTTGCTGATTAAGTTTTCATTAATTTATAAAATAAGGGAATTTTAATTCAAATTAACATAGGGTGAGCTTATAGATTTTCAGATTATTAAATTGAATTATCACTTAAAAAATGCTGATACTTCAAAGTAAAGAAAATAGAAATGTAATGAATATTTTAAAACATTACCAAAAAAACATTTCCCTAGAAATTTAAGTATTAGTAATAAAAAGTAATTTTTATGCAGAATTTAAGTTTCAATAATCAAGAAAATAGTAGTGTTACATAAGTAAACAAACAACAGCATTTTAGATCAGAAGGAGGTTAAAGTTTTCTAAATGAAAGAAATTAACTGTTCAGGGATAACAATATTCTAGTGGTTTATAGAGCATCACATTTTTCAAGTGACAGTAGTGCACTTACTCTTTTAAATAGTATTGAAATGGATATTTTTCACTGTTGCCAAAGCAGTATCTGAGAGTAGCTAGGTGTCCACAGTAGTATGCAACTTACTAGGTGTACCGGTTAATAAAAGGAATGTTAATAATTTAATAACCGTGACCCAAACTTTTTTTCTAAATTGAAGAAACTGATTTCCAAAGACTTTGTCTTGCCCGAGCTCACAAAACTACTGTAAGAAATCTGGATTAGAACTCAGGTATCAGGCTTCCCAGTTGTACTCTGCCCACCATTTACAATTTTGATAATCTGGTAAAACGTTCACACTAATTTTTGTGACTGGTCATTATTAGTTGAATTTTATCCTCTCAGATGTGCCTTTATTTTTCCACTATCTCCATAACTATCCACCAGATCAAAGCAGCTCACCTACCCTACCATTTATAGTGTGAAGAAATATTAAAGTTTAAGTCCTGGGTCATGGGCAGTAGAGAAAAGGAATTTCACAAAATAGGAAAAATTGCATGCTAGTCAAAACAGTTCCCAAGAGTAAACTAGTACAGGAAACATATTTTCCTCATTTAATCTTGGCTCTGATTTCAGGAGTGCTACATTTAAAAGTAATTAAACCCATATGCTTTCATTCTACACAAGGCAAACTTATCAATTTTCCTGCCTCCTAAGTACATTGGCTCACAGAATAATAAATGCTTAACTCTCAGAGACCTCTGAATTCTCTTACTTTAAAATTCCAGGTGATTTGATTATTTTAAAGTATATATGTTGCAAGTAATCGTAGAATGTTAACTTGGGTGAACACAATTCTTGATTGTTGACCTTGGGATGTTAAGAATTATTTGAGGAGATGTATTTAATGTCTGCTTTTTTATCTAGCATATTTTCATGTAATGCTTAATTAAAGTGAACCATTCAAGATTTATTTCATTGGGTGATATTATTTATTGACTCTGCCAAAATTTAATTTCATAATATTAGGAAATGTGGTATGAATTTTATTTGTGGACTACAGATGAAATAATGATGTTATGTTGATTTACCTTTTATTAGAAATGACTGAAAATCTGGATATAAAACTTTTCTTTTTACGTAAGACATTACACAAACTACAAAGATAATGTAAGATTATATAATTATCAAATAATTGGAAAATAGAAATAGTAAAAGTTACCTACACTCCCACCCCCTAAAGACAATCATAATTAATATATTATTACTCCTCCAGTTTTTAGGTACCAGTGCATTTTCCTGTACTGAAATTAAGCTGAATGTGAAGGTAGATAAGATTTTCTCTCTCTGTTTTTCTCTCTGTCTCTCTGTTTCTGTGTCACTCTCCATGCTACCTATATGTGTGTATGTATAATACAGAACACATACACACACAGGCATATACTCAAACATAACATTTTTAATTCTTTAACAGAAATTAAACTATACAATTGGTAACCAGGTTTTTCTACTCAACAATACATAATAAACATATTTCCACACTATCATAGCTTTTTAATAGCAGGGTTTTAGGTTGCAGTGGAATTATCTTTGATGCTGTAACTAATTTATTTAACATTTTGGGGCAATTTGTTTTCTGACAAATGTTTACTATAATAAGTAACAATACAGTAAACATCCTTGTATTCAATATCCTTATTATTGAATATAAGAGATGGTAGACCTTATTAAATCTATAAAATGAATAAAGAACTTATAATATTTAAGGAGTTACTCAAACATCTTATAGCTAGTGCTAGAATATCAGAAAACCTAGCAGATGATGGAACACAGGCTTTGAGGTAGTTACTCAAGAGTGTCACAGTCTGAGAATTAACTTTCTCGCTGCAGTGTGTATGCAAGGATATCATGGGTCACTCATGGGTCATATCAGCGCTATGGGTAAATTAAACAAATTTCATAAAGTTAGAAACCTTTTTATACTTCCAGAACTACAAGACATGGAATGGGAGTTAGTTAATGGACATAGGATTTCAGCTCTGCAAGATGGAAAGATTTCTGGAGATTCAAAACAAAATAATGTAAATGTGTTTAACACTATGAACTGTAAACTTAAGAATGGTTACGATGGTAAATTTTACCCCCATTTAAAAAAAAATTGCACAGCAAAACAAACAAGTGAACAACAAAAAAGCTTACCCGTTCATTCATAGGAAAAATATAGAGAAAACTTCACCCCTTATTATAGAACATGTCTTTTATGGTCTGATCAACTTTATCATACCAGATGACCCATCACTGATTCAATTACAGTTGCCAGGGGAATGTCATATGCTGATGGGCTTAGACCTGGATTGACTGCTGAGGAACAAAGCCACAATTCACCTAAACCATCTAATAACTTTCAGACTTTTTTCTTGGATATATTTTTCACTTAAATTTTTTGAGATAAGCTTCAGGTTCTTTTTAAGCTTTGAAAACAAAATTATGATTTTTGGTAGAATCACAGTAACCATGCATAATAATAAATTTTTTTGGTTTAAAAAGATAGGATCAAAACCAATCCCTTTCCAGAGAATAATTAATGTTCACTTGTATTTTTGTATGTATATCCATTTATCTTTTAAAAATAATTAACCTTTGATGTTCATGGGAAAAAATAGCAGTTGTAACATACAGGAATGATTTCCACAATATTCTGTATAATATGAAAGCCCAGTAATTGGACTGGCTATGCCAAGTGTTAATGTATGTAGTGAGTATAACTGTATGGATAAAGCCAAGTTCCTGCCCTTTGTGGTTTGTATTCTAGTTGGGAAAAGAAACACTGAACAAACAAGTACATACTGCAATGTCCATCAGTTCTAAATACAATCAATACAGTCACCTATTACCAGGGTAAGGTAGAGAAATAGAGGCTAATGTGTAGGGTTATCAGAGCTCTGTCTGAAGAGAATAATTCTAAGCAAAAACCTAAAAGGAGTGAATGACAAACCATTTGAGTACCTGGAAGAACAGCACTGGGACCTATAGGGCTTCATAGGGCATGATACAGACTTTGATTTCATTCATATATATATATAATCTACACTAATAAAAGAGAAACATGGTAATTGGCGTACGACCGCTACCCTTTTCATTGGCTAATCAGCGAGATATGCAAATTAACTGTCAGCCAAGATGGCGGCCGGCAGCCAGGCAGCTTGAAACTAACATGAGGCTTGCTTGCTTCAGTGACGGAAGAAACCAATGTTCCCCGCCTGCCTTGCAGGCCTCTGAGCCTGCAGTTTGCAACATTTTAACAAATATTGAAGCTAAAAAAAAAACCCAGAAACCAGCTTTCAGCGAGCTGGGATCTCAGAGCTGGAGTCAGAGCTGGAGTTATACATTGTTTTGATGATAGAACCGAAACAAACCAGATACCTACTTTCAGCAGGGGAGGCCTAAGAGCTGGAGCCTCAGAGCTAAAGCTGGCCCAGAATTAAAAAGAACTGGGCCTGGGAGGCA